AAATCCCCCTGTAGGGGGACATGCCCGACCTCAGAGTAGCAGTATCGGTACCCTTTTTTGGCCTCCCTCAATCGGTGGCAGCTCATGGGAGCCTTGTGCGTCCTCGGGATCCCGTCTTTGGAGTGTTTTAGAGCGTGCGCTGGCGTCCAGTAGTCGACGAGAAAGCGCCGATGTAAGGGTCGGTGAGCGTCGGTTAGCGTTGGTTAGCATCGACCAATCGCCTCGAACTGGGGAAATGTACGACTCCAGCTCGGGCTTGCCGCCGGTTCTCGGGGAATGTCTGCAGCGGGAGCCTCGGCGGCAAATTTCAGATTTGGTATCGCCATTTTTCTGACGGCCGCGTCAGGCCAACTCGAGTCCTCCAAGCTCGAGTCTCCCGTCTTTCCCGACCCCCTCCGTCTCCCGTCTCTGGGCATCGAGAGACCGCCCGCCCAGCCAAGTCGACCGAGGACATCTGCACGTGTTCATTCGATATTGGTATTCGAGCATATCGGTGCAGTCCCCAGTCGGCTTCGCTGATCGACGCGTGTTTCGCTGGGTGTATTTGGTTGTTTTGGGACGTCGGTTAGCTACCCTGCTGGGGTCCACTCGGAATGCGGTGACGTGCGCCCACGCGGGAGAGCGCCTGGCAGTTTTCATTAAAAGGCGCTTTGCATAAAAACGGAATAGAGATAATTTCTCGGAGGTCCGCGCGGACTTGTCGGAGCGGCGTCGGTTCCCCCCTGTCGGCGCCTCTGGGGTCGCCCCTGGCGCGCTCCGCGCGTCAGGAAGCGGGGTCCAGCGCAGATGCATGAAATCCGCGCGGAACCTCAGAGGTCTCGACCGCTCTCACCCCCCAGCGCTTGAGAAGGACAAGAGATGGAGGGAGGAGGAGGAGGAGGAGGAGGAGGAGGAGGAGGAGGGAGGAGGAGGAGGAGGAGGAGGAGGGGAGGAGAGGAGGAGGAGGAGGAGGAGGAGGAGGAGGAGGAGGAGGAGGAGGAGGAGGAGGAGGAGGAGGAGGAGGAGGAGGAGGAGGAGGAGGAGGAGGAGGAGGAGGAGGAGGAGGAGGAGGAGGAGGAGGAGGAGGAGGAGGAGGAGGAGGAGGGGAGGAGGAGGAGGAGGAGGAGGAGGAGGAGAGGAGGAGGAGGAGGAGGAGGAGGAGGAGGAGGAGGAGGAGGAGGAGGAGGAGGAGGAGGAGGAGGAGGAGGAGGAGGAGGAGGAGGAGGAGGAGGAGAGGAGGAGGAGGAGAGGAGGAGGAGGAGGAGGAGGAGGAGGAGGAGAGGAGGAGGAGGAGGAGGAGGAGGAGGAGGAGGAGGATCAGAACAGGAAAAAACACATAAGCACAAAGGGTTTTATTGGTTTTACGCCGGAAGGGGGCGTCGTTGAGAGGGTGCCTGGCACGGATGCGGGGATCGGTGTGGCATCGGTCTTTGGAGCTGGCGGTTTGCGTGGCAAGTGCGTTTAGCTGGTCGCATGTGTGCGGAACGCGTGACGGTTGGAATGGCCGCTCACCAGCATTGGCAGTCCTCTGCCCGCGGGCCAGAACAAATCGTCGCGCGCTCGCAACGGGGTGTGGGAAAGAGGGCTGGGAAGAGAGCGCGAGTCTCATTCCCAAGAAGTCTGTCCGATAGGCAGCAAACAATTCTTTTTCCATTCATCTGCCGCACGGCCAACCGAACGAACGAACAACTGTTTCGGCGCGCAGTGTTAGCTTCGCTTGCGCGCATCCTGGTTTCTTTCCGTTGCTTCCTTCGCCTCTTTCTCGCCCTCCTCTTCTTTTTCCTCTTCCCCTGCTTTGCCTTGTCCCGCCCTCCCTCCCTTTCCAGCTCGGCGCTGTCGCCGCGCGCGAAGAGCGCAAACCAAAGGGCGTTGCCGTAATTCCTTTGTTTACCACGAAGTCTCGTGTAATTCCTTTGTGTGCGGTCTGGTTACAATGCCAACGCGGGGGGCACATAAAGGAATTTCCTTTGTCTACGATCGTTTTCGCCGCCCCCACAAGGGCGCGCGCGATTCCTTTGTGTAGAGCTTGCTTTCCCGCCTCGAGGAGCGCACGGGGCCTGGCGTTACAATCGCAAGGCCGCGGCGGTTGGCAGTGCGATGCAGCTGCGCCCCATACCACGCTCAAAACGATCCTGCGTGGATTTCGGCTCTTCTGCCGAAATCGCGCCGGCAGCTGGCCAGCCACATCGCCGGCCCTGCATGCCCGCGCGTTATTGCGTTCTGCTGCCGCGACGCGCGCTGCTGTGAACGGATGCGCAAACTGATGTTGCACGGTGGTTTGGCTGTGCCAAACCACCATGGAATGTTTGTTGGTAGCGGATATTGGGATCTTGTCGCCGCCGACAGCTTTGCCACACCATACATGTCAACTGCATCCTAAAGCGCGGCCGTGCATCCACCCTGGTTCGGATCGCTGGGGATCCAGTCGCATGTGTGCACATTCGTTGCACCGTTGGTGGTGCCAAAACCCTTTGTGTGAAATTCCTTTGTGTGTTTTTTCTGGCTCCTAGAGGAGGAGGAGGAGGAGGAGGAGGAGGAGGAGGAGGAGGAGGAGGAGGAGGAGGAGAAGGAGGAGGAGGAGGAGGAGGAAGAGGAAAAGGACAGTTTATGTTTGTGCAGTTTTTGTTCCTTTCTAGTGGTGGAGCCGTTGGCGGAGCCCACCTCAGACCCAGACCTCCGACGATGTGATTGCCCAGTAGCGTTTCGCTAGAGGGTTCTCATAAGAGGCCAAGAAGGCAACACAATAACCCCACAGTGGTGAGTGTTTTTTCCTCCCCAGTGTGACGCTTTCTATCTGGCCCCCCCCCGGGGTGACGCGATCGTGCTGGCCTCCCTCTACATGCTGTGGTGCACACAGGCGATTGATGCGCTGGTGGCGCGGACGCACGCTGGCGGGTGCAAGCCGCGGTTGTCGTTGAGGTTGCCCTCCCGCCAGACCCCACCCCCCGGTAACGACAGGTACCCAGGAAAAAAAGGGGTCCCGTAGTCCCGCAGGGGGGACGGGAAGCTCGAGACCGCCAGGTCCAGGGGCGGTCCGCCGGCGGTCGGGCGGCGGCCTCGCCGAAGATTGCTTCAGGATTTTGGTTCAGGAATGGTACCTTCGCCTCAACGGCGGCCATTTTTTTGGTCTGGGCGCGATCCACGCCAGCCAGCCTGGTTTGAGGAGCCGTGCAGAAGCGACTCCCCCTCCCCGCCCTCCGCCTGTGCCGTGCTCGGGAGCCGCTCTGCGGCTGTCCAGGGCTCACGGCATGGCCCTGGCTGACCCCCGTCAGTCAGGAGGGAAAAAAACACAGACACAATTAATCGTCGATTCCCCAGAAAATGTGCGAAAATATCGGAAGTGGCGGGGAAGACAAAAACCCAGAAAGTATAGGAAAACATGGGGAATCCTGTTATTTGTGTGTATTTATTTGTGTGTCTTGGGGCCCCGTCAATATAGGCCTCCTACCCTGGCACGTCGATTCGCGCATTGGCCGTTTTCGGATCGCGAGAGGGCGTCGTGTTTTCTCGGATGCAGCTCCTGGGAGGTCAAATTCTGTTTTCGCCTTGGTCCGAAATCCGGCTCAATCCGGCTGTGTCCCGCTTAATCCCGCTTAATCCCGCTTAGCCTGGCTTAATCCCGCTTAATCCGAGGCCCACTCCGGCGTAATAGCCCCCCAACTGGGGCTTAATCTTCCTTAGCCTTTCCGACGAAAACCTCCCTGTAGTTGCCTCCTAACATGCCGTTTTCACTGAAGGGTGGTTTCCTAAAGGGAGGTTTGGCCACCGCCGACTCGCGCTGCTGCAAGCTGGCGCGTCCCCGGGAGAAGATGCCGCGGGCTCGGCCGCCGCCCTGCGCGACCGCAGGACGCTGAGGTTCGAGCAAGAAGACACTAACCTCAGGGTCGGGCCTGTCCCTCTACAGGAGGAATATTCAAACATATTTTTAAAAATACTCTGGGGACTATTTTTGGAGTATTTTTTGTCCATTTCGGAATATTTTTTGAGTATTTTTCATTGTTCGTCGAACATCCCCCTGTAGGGGGACAGGCCCGACCTAAAACTAACTTCAGGTCGGGCGTGTTCCCCCTATAGGCGGGTTTTTGGAGGAAGAACTAGAAGTAGCCCCAGAATAATCAAGCACATTCCAAGATAGTCAGAGGGTCGTCGCCAGAACTGTTCTTGGACCGTTTCTGAAGATTCCTCCTGTATCAGGAGGAAAAGAAACACACAGACACAATTAATCCTCGATTTCCCAGAAAATATGGAAAATATGGGAATTGGGCGGGAAGACAGAAACCCAGAAAATATGGGAAAATATGGGGGACTATTTTTATCTGTGTGTATTTACTTGTGTGTCCTTGGGCCCCTTCACTGTGGAGGGCCAGGCCCGACTCACAACCAGCTGCACACAAACTCTCGGAGGTCCGCGCTGGGTGCCTCGGGCCGTCGCTGGACTCCCCCCCGCTCGCTGCCCCTCTGGCGCTGGCCGGAGAGTGCTTCCAGTGCCGACCCAAGATGTCGGGAGGAAAAGAAACACGCAGACACAATGAATCCTCGATTCCTTAGAAAATGTAGGAAACTATGGGAAGTGGGGGGGAAGACAGAAACCCAGAAGATACGGGAAAATAGGGGGAATCTTTTTATTTGTGTGTATCTATTTGTGTGTCCTGGGGCCCCGTTAAAGATGTCCGCGCAGACCTCCGAAAGCTGTGCGTAGTGGTAAGTCGGGCATGTCCCTCTACAGGAGGAATATTCGAAAATAGGCAAAAAATTATATGGGGACGGTTTTTGATTTTTTTTGACCATTCGGGGGGCATTTCTCGGGTATTTTTCATTTTTCGCCCCAAAATCCCCCTGTATGGGGGACAGGCCCGACCTAAGCGTAGTGCAGTCTTTTGGTCGTTTGGAGGTACGCCGCCTCTGGGGACCCCTTCTACCCAGTGGAGCTCGAGGGCGTCGTGTACGACTCCTTCGCTCTGCGGGTTGTCTTCCAGAGGGACAAAACGGGCTTTGAGGAGTCCAAGGAATTCCCCGTCCAGATGAACTCCGTTGTGGCAGCGCGGTACCAGATCTTGGAGTACTTGGGCTCCGCTGCATTTTCCATGGCGGTCCAGGCCCTCGATCTGGAGAACAATAGGATGGTTTGCATGAAGGTCATCAAGAATGACAAGGACTACCTTGACCAGTCGCTCGACGAGATCAAGCTCCTCAAGTATATCAACGTCAACGGCGATGTTGACGATCAGTGTGTTCTGCGCCTGTACGATTACTTTTACCACAAGGAGCACCTCATCATCGTCACCGAGCTCGGCGGCGTCCAAGAGGGGAGTGAGGGCATGGGTATGTGGATATCATGATCGGGCCACACATCTCGCAGAATTAATGCTCCCCTCTTCTTCTTTCAACACATCCCCTGCCCCTTCTTCGTCCGCTCACAAGCCTCGGGCCATGATGCGCTAAGCCGCTTCTCCCTGGCCACCCTCTTCGGCGCACCCGACGAGCTGCTCCGAGATAACTTGTACGAGTTCTCCAAGTTCAACCGCGAGTGTGGCGACGACCCGTACTTCACGCTCGGGAGGCTGCAGAAGATCTCGAAGCAGGTGCTCACTGCGCTGGAGTACGTGCACTCGCTGCGGCTAATCCACTGCGACCTGAAACCGGAGAACATCCTCATCAAGTCCTCCGTCCCTCCTCCCTCCTCCTTTTCCTCCAACTGGCGAGGACGACTTTCGAAGCTCCGAAAGGGTAGGTATACGCAGAATTATTCTTCTTATTTTTCCTCTTCTTCTTCTTTTTATTCCTCTAGTCATCCTTCCCTCCTCCCTCCTCGTTATCCTTCTACTCCCTTTTCGAGCCTCAGGTCCTACAGCAGGTGCGAGGTGAAGGTGATCGACTTCGGTTCCAGCTGCTTCGTGGACGACCAGATGTCGTCGTACGTGCAGTCGCGGTCCTACCGCGCGCCAGAGGTGATGCTGGGTCTGGGGTACGACCAGAAGATAGACATCTGGTCCCTCGGTTGCATCATCGCCGAGCTGTGGACGGGCTACGTGCTGTTCCAGAACGACTCGGTCCAGAGCCTGCTCGCGCGGATCCTTGGGATAATCGGGGACTTCCCCTATCCAGCTGTCTGCGACGATCCCCCCACGGTGCCAGCGCAGCAGCGCACCACCCTCGGCCTCCACCTGCCGAGCCTTCCGCGCGGCAGGGGCCGCCGCGGCGCGGCCGCGGCGACCGCCGAGACGGCTGCCGTGGCCTCGACGGCGGCCGCCACTGCGGCGACGCTAGCTGCGACCGCTGCGCGGCATCTGCCACCCAGAGGGTGCGGGAACGTAGGCGGTCGAGTGTCTGGAAGGAGGCCGGGTGCGAGGCCCGCTCCAGGAGGGCGGCACGAGCCCTGCGTATACCCCAGGGAGCCAGCAGACACTCCGAAACGCGCGCGCACCAGCCGTGCCGCCGGGCGCGGGGGGCGGACCACCTCATGACCCGGGGCAGGTACGTGCCGCAGTACTTCACGCAGGACGGCCAGCTCTACCAGGAGATCGAGGGCGCCCCCTGCGCCGAGCGGGGGCGCCGCCTGCACCTGCTCGTGCCCAAGCGGACGTCGCTGCGGCAGCGCCTGCGCACCGACTGCGCGGAGTTCCTGGACTTCGTGGAGCAGCTGCTGCGGCTGGACCCCGCGGGGCGGCCCACGGCGGCGGAGGCCCTGGCCCACCCGTTCCTGAGCGCGGGCCGCTTCCCCGACGGCCTGTGAGGGGGGCCGCGCGGGCCCGCCGAGCCGTCCTCGGCCTCGTCCTCGGCCTCGGGCCCGGGCCCGCCGAGCCGTCGGGTTTAGGTCGGGCATGTCCCCCCTACGTGCGCAGTTGGGGCGACAGATAAGACATGCTCCAAACATAATCCAAAAATGCCCCAGTCAAACAGTCGTCCCCAGTTTTTTTGTTTTTTTTTTGTTTCTTCTTCTTCTTCTTCTTTGTTCATGGTATTTTCTTGAATGCTCCCCCTGTAGAGGAGGGACAGGCCCGACTTAACCGTCGGTCCTCCGCCCCGGCAGCCGCCGCCCGGCGGCCCGGGCCGCGCGTGCCCGAGCGCCTCGACGCAGGCCGCGCCGGCAGGCCGCGCCGGCCGCGCGCCAGGCGCGCCGGCGGCGGCCCGCCGAGGGCCCTTGGGGCGCGCCGAGGCCATCCGCCCGCGCGGCGTCTCGCCAGGGGGGACGCGGGTCCTGATCGTGAAGCGGAATCGGGGGTGGAAAGGAGTGGGGTGATGATTAGGGGGGGTGGATATCATGGCGTGGGCCATGATGTCTCCCCAGATCTCTTGGCGCCTCTTCTTATTTCATTACGTCCCTGGCCCCCCCGCTGGGCCGCGCACATGCCGCCGGTCATGATTTGCACCCCCCCTCTTGGACACCCCTCTTTTGGCCGCTCCCGACGGAACGTATGCATTACCAGTGGCGGGCTGTTTTTCAATCCCACGATCTCTCCTGGGGGTCGAGGACGACGACGGGGTGGTGTGGTGTGTACTTTTTTCCCCCGATGTCCCGGGGAAACAGCGAAACATGTATACATCAGGGTCCCAGAATCCGCTCTCCGGTGCAAATTCGAATGCAGGGCCGGAACAAGCGTCGGTGTGTAGAGTTCGGCTCCCTACCTGAGCGAAGCGTGTCCCGAGCTTTTCTCTGCACGAACGAAATGGGTACGGCAAGAATGGGTACAATGCCCAACGCCAGTTCCTGTTCATTTTGAACAGGACTCGCTGTCCGCGCCGCCGCGGCCTGTGTCCATTTGAGACAGAAGGCCGCCTGCACGACAGCGGCCGCTGCTGGTTTGGGGCAACATTTGCTGTTGGGCATTGTACTTATTTTTTCCGTACCCATTCCGGGCGTCCAAAATTCAGGAGAAAAAAACACACAGACACAATTAGTCGTCGATTCCCCAGGAAATATGGGAAAATATGGGAAGTGGGGGGGAAGACAAAAACCCAGAAAATATCGGAAAATATGGGGAATCTTTTTATTTGTGTGTATTTATTTGTGTGTCCTGGGGCCCCTTCAAAAATGGGGGACGCGGGTCCTGAGCGAAGCGGGTCCCGAGCTTTTTCGCCGTTCTCAGGCCTCCGGGGCCCTCCACGGGCCCCCGGGGTCTATCAGAAAACGATTCCGGAGGAAGAATTTGTCTCGGTGGCCCCCATACGGGGTGGTGGCCACACCGTGTGGTGAGTCGGTGGTGATTCGGGGTCACCGCACGGCTTTGGAGCTCGGGTCGCTCTCCGAGGACGTCTCGGGCGGCTGGAGCTTTCAGGGTCTCCCAAAGCCGTGCGCCGACGGACCGTGCGGTGAGGCAGTCTTGGGGGATGTCGAGGTCACCACACGGTCTGTCACCGCACCGCTTCGGGACTCCAAGAGCTGGTCCTGGGGGAGGGCCCCCAGGGTTATGATGTTCCAACCTACTTTTGCCTTGACCACCAGGAATAACTTCGAGCACCAGGAAAGTACCGAAATTTGAGGGGTTTCACGTGTCGGACCCTGGGAGGCGATACTCTTTCGACATCGATTCGACACTTTTCTGGGTGCTCGAAACTATTCCTGGGACGTGGTCCTTAAGTACGATGGGCGCAACGTAACCCCAGGGTCAGGACCCGCTCCCCGCAGGACCCGCTCTCCCCCGTGGCGGATGCGTCGCCCGCTCGGCCCCGGCTGCGTGCCTGCTCCTCGCAGGCCGTGCACGCCTCCCTCTCCGAAAGACGGCCCGCTCCCCTGGCCTCCGCAGGGGGCGCCTGCACCCTGCGGCCACCTGCGAGCCCTGCACCCCAATGAGCTGGCAGCCGGCACCCAGACCTATGCGACCCCTCGATCTCTCGGGGTGAAATTCCGTGGGGGCTGCGGGGGCGTGTTGTCGGGTGGGGGTCCCATTCGAACGGCCCCCCCCCCCCCCTGGGGTCGGACCCACACCCATACGCATTCCTTGCCCTTCCATACTCTTCCTCCCTGCAGGTTGGAGTGTGTGTTGTTAATGCCCCTGCAGGTCCGATCGACGCTGGGGTGGCTGACACCTCCCGCTGGGGCTGACACCTCCGCTGCATAGTCTGACCCCCCGATGGCACCTCAAAAGTCTGGCCTGCAGGGGTAGGGATTCACGTGTGGCTGTCTATACACGCCGCCACCGTGGCTGGCCAGGGCCCTCCTCGGACTGGCCACGGTGTGTACGCCCTCCTGGCCTGGGCCAGGGGGGTCCACGCTGCATCCCGCGGCCCTGCACGGCCCCGGCCAGGCATCGTGGTGGGTGGTGTACACAGGCGCCCTCTGCGGATGTGCCCTTTGTTTAGCTCGCCCAGAAGTGCAGATGAGCACGGAGAACGTCATAAGCACGCCCCCTCGGGGGTCCGCGCGGATTTCTGGGCTCGGCGCTGGTCCCCGTGGCGGTGCCTCTGGCGCCATCCCCGGCGCGCGCCAAGCGCGCCAGGGCAGGTGCGTCCAATGCCGAGCGGAGAAGTCTGCGCGGACCTCCGAAAGCTTACCAGGAAGCTCGGTACGCATGACGTGGCTGGCCTGGGCCCAGGGCTGGGTGCACGAGTGGCTGGACGCCTTTCTGGCGACGGGCCCCTCCTGCTGGTGGTGGCCGCACGCTCCGCCCTCCCAGCGGCCTGGGCCTCCGCACGCCTGCACGCGTGGGTCCGGCCAGCGCGCGCCCAGCTTCCTGGCCTGCTCGTGTCATCTCCTGCTCCCCCCCTGAGG